TGTATAAAGTCAACTTCTTCACCTAATAGCTACAATTGAACACATTTTTATTACAGGAACAAGTGTCATGGAATTGACCCAGTCTTTCCATATTAACAAAGACAAAAATGTCTATGCACATTTAATCTCATTACAAAGGAGGGGGACAAAAGTCTTTTTTTTTTTTTTTTTAATATTATTCCCCATGGAAACAACATCCTCTTTTAGGACTTGAAACATTTTCATTTTAGTAGGTTTAAAAACTATATTAGAATCCAAATGAATAAGATTTAAACTTAGATTTTATAATATATTTAGCTTAAGCACTTCAATCTTAGAATAAACAAGTCCAACCCTTCTTTGAAATAAGATGAAAATTAACTTTGAATGCTTTCATTTAAAGATAATACAATTAGCAGATTCTCAAAGAATCACATAGAGGTCTCCATCCAAACTCATTACAAAAGAAATATTTTTAGGAATTTATAAATCATTGAAAGGGATAGGAGTTAGAACACATTTTCCCTCATAAACTTAATGACAGCTAAATCAACATTTTCCCTAAAACAGTAAAATTACCCTATTATTTCTTGTACCTTATTCTTCCTTCTTTAAATCCACAAAAAAATAAAAAACAAAAAAAAGGAGGACATGCTGCACTGTCTTCTTAGCAGTTTTATCTCATCTCTTAGGAACCAAGGCAGTATTAGGTGCTGAAAATTGTAAGGGTAGATTGATGCTTAAAATGAAGGAGGTCGCTGCCCTCTTGTTAAACTCTGCCTGACTCACGTCGGCAGCATCAGACGATAACAGCACGTTCACCAGATTTTCCAAGTGATGAAAATGTCAGGACACCCAAAGTTATGGTTCCCCCAACAACCATAACTTGGCCACTTTGCACAGAATTATTAAGGAAGAAAAGTTAGAAACTTACATTAGTATAAACCCGCGGTTACACTGAGTTCGCGTTTACACAGGCAGAGCACAATTCAGTAATGAGGCCACTAGCTTTGTAACGCAGATGAAAATTACCCTTTATCAATGATGATAATCATAAGAATAAAAAGTATTTTTATTTGAATTAAATTATCTGGATAATTGGCTCAATATTCTGCTTTGTACATGTAGAAATAAAAGAAAAAATAACTGCTAAAATGATCTTAATTTCAGAAGACAATGATATTTTAGGTTAGATTGGTGTTTTTCTATGTATTATAAATGTATACTGAACCAGAATAGACCGCTTGAAGAGGGAAATTGATTTCAACTTATATTTACTCTCACAAATAAATTCATAAAGAGATGCCTAGTGAATCTTAATTTTACTTTTTATCAAGCAAATTGCCATTTAAAAGCTGATTCTAAATGTACCTATACGTGATATCAAGTCAAGATGGGAAGAGACACTTCAATGCTATCTTTATGTAGATGTAAGTTAAGAAGGAAATAGGGAATGATGGTGTGGGGAGAATAGGAAATCACCTATTCCTTCTAAAGGTATTAAAATTCAATTAAAAAGAAAACATATCAAGCCAAACAAATAAATCAGCAAATAAATACAGGCCAAAGGGAAGGACATTTAAGGAGCCCCCTCTGCAGTGTGAGAGACGCTGGCCTCCCAGCGGGAAGGTGAGGCTTGGCCGCTGTCAAGGTGGGCGATGGCAGCCTCTGGCCAGACAAGGTCACTCCCTTTTAACAGAAAAACATGGCGTCCACCAGTGGACTCATTGCCCATTTTCTCTCAGATTTGTGAGACACCACCTTGGACTAAAGGGACCCCTAACTTTTGAATTTACAAAGGGTAGAAGGCTAGAAAAAGAGATTCTCGCAATATGAAGACTCATGCCATTTGTTTTGAATGTTAAGAAGTGCATGTTGTTCTTCACCACACAAGCTGTATATAAGGGATATAGGAGTTATTTAAATAAAAAAAAATCTTTGCTAGTACTAGCAGAAAAAAAAATCCTTTCATTCAGCATTATGAAGCTAGTCAAAACATCCCCTCAGCATGATTATATTACATGTGCACTTCCCTTCTAGAAGCAGCTGTCATGGGTATGTTTATTTCAACTCATATTTCAATTTAATTTGTGGGGATTTAACTTCATTTTTTTCCCTTAAATCATAGATCTGAACGTCTCATTAAGAATCCTTAGAGGAATCACTAAAAATTTAAAACTAAGTTTATGGCCTTGGTCCTAATCCTTTAATAAAGTTTTATTTCTTTTGTGAAGAAACAAAATTAGCTTTCTGGGACTTATTCTGTGTTTCTACTGAGCATCTCGTGGCAAAAACTCAAATTCAGTAATGTTAAATAGTCAGGTTCTATTTATTTTAGAAATTGCTATATTTAAGGCACTTAGAAATCACAGATCATAGAAAGCTATTTTTTAAAATTATTTCCCTAGGTGACTCTACAGACAACTGTAATGACAGCAATTAATATGCATATCACACTCCCTGTGGTGTGGGGAGGGGCCCTCCACTAGATTGTGCGCTCTTTGAGGGCAAGGGCTATACTGTATTCATCTTTTGTTCCTTATCACAGAGCCTCAGCATATAGTAAGCACAATACATTGCTGACTAAATTAATTTCTTCAACTACAGTGATAATCATATAGGGATGCCAAAATAAGTAAATAATGAATCAAAAATAGTTGAGATTAGTATAAGGACCACGGTAATTTAGGTTGAACAATAAGGATCTGCTAACAACTGGCCAATTTTGACCTACAAAAGCATCAGCTTCATATAGTTTATTCTGTTGTTTGGTTACACTTATGTGCTGCCTCTCTCCAAGAACCTCATACTGGCTAAGATGTTTTCCCATCTTAGGATGGACAGGAGAATTTTCCTTAGTTTTGCCCATTCTCTAAAGAGAATAACACCACAGTTAGTATTCCTAGTGTGCAGAGAAATTCAATAATAACTCTTGGTGGATTTAACTTATTTTTTCATTTAACAAGTGTTCAGGTGCCCACGATGTGCCGGGCACCACGCTGGGGGTTGAAGATAGAGAAGTCCTGAAGACAAAGCCCCTGCCTTGGGGTAGATCTGATAATAGAATGTGGTATCCAGACAAGCTCCCAGGCCAGAGGACTGCAATGATAACAGTGATATGTTAGGGGATGTGCTATGGAAATACATTAAAGAGGAGCTGATTCAGACCAGCAAGAGAGTGAGGAGGGAAGCCTTCCTGGAGAAAGAAACTCCTAGTCCAAGGATGATCTAGTCAGGCAATAGGAAAAGGCAGCACTGGGTGCAGTGGAGGGAGCGAGTGCAGCTTGTTGGAGGCAATGAGCGCAACACGCAGCAGCCTCAGTGAGGAAGGGGTGGCAGGCAAGGCTGGAGTGTAAACAGGGTTCAGAATATAGCCACCGAGTGGTGGGTCTAGAAAAAGAACCACCCTGATAGAAAAGATATTGAAAAATATGATTGAGTAGTTTTCATAAAATAACATTCATGTTTTTTGAAATTCAATTACGTTGCTTGGATGCATGAAGATTTAGAAGTCATTTAATCCCATCGAATTAACTCATTTTATAGAAAACAAAAGTGACTCCAGAGAAGTTAAGTGATTTGCCTTAGGTCACAAAGCTAGTTCTCTAGCACAGGATGAAACAGAACCCACCTCTCCTAACTCTCCCATGTAGCACTCTTGTCTGACATCAACTATTTGCCCATTTCATTACTTTGAATTCTAGATTGAATTCTTTCAAGTCTCAATCCTGTTTACCGAATATGTTTTTGTGGACTGAACCAATGACTTACAATCACTTTCCAGAAATAGCAAGCTTTTACGAGTGCCCAGTAATTTTTCCAGTTTCATATATGTTCAGTATTTCTAAATTCCTCTATTGCATTTCGTGTCTAGATAGAACTGTGACAAAGGCAATAGGTTAAGGCTCAAACGCCTCCAAGTTCAACTTCAAAAGGCTTATTTTAAGCATGCCGTTAAGATGGCAAACATTAAACATGCTGACTGTTACAGTTCGATGATTAATGCCACAGATAATAACCAAACATGTTTTATTGCATAACTGATAACATGCTCACACAATGAAGACACTAAGATACTTTGAACTATTCAACATGCCCAAAACTAAATGCCAGCATTTGTTTTTATAGTTTTTGTAATCTCACCTGCTAAGACCCTTATCTTCATAAAACCACTGAGTTCCTGAATAAATATTGTGCCACAGATTTAAATCTTCTGGGGGATTTGATGCAAGTGGTTGCTGGATTTTACGTCTCAGAAGCTCATATCTAAAGCAAAGACAAGCAGGAACATCAGGATTATCCCAACTAATGTTATTACCAAAATTCAGGTTGTTTTGTGGTATTTGTGTGTGATAGATATATGCATGCAAACCTAAAGAATAACATCTTTGAAGTTTTTTTTTCAGATAAATATTTTTTTTTCTGGCTCAAGTTTCATATATTCAACTATTTCAAAACAATCAGCTATAGTCACATTTTATTATTATCCATAAGAACGATAACATTTTAGTTTTCTTTTATGTCAGATTTGCCAAATCTTTATTGCTAGTGTCACACAATGTAGAAATACAAAAAGCTTATCAAGTTAATAATTTCCTAAGACTACTCTCATCAATACTTTATAAACAATGATAATATTATCAACTCTGTATTCTTGGCCAAATATCAAGTTCAGGTTGTTACAAAGCCATTTCAGAATCACGACTCTTTCCTTTCATCTTATCTGTACCCCTGACCACATTATTTACAAGTTTCCCGATAACAATACATGCCAAAGAATTATTGTGTTAGCTTTAGAATTTTGAGTCATATTTGTGCCAATGTATCAGAACATGCATTAGGTTTGCCTAACATATAATAAGACTGTACTTTGAAACTCAAGAGAAGGATTATGTAGAGAATCTTAGAGAACGGTGATTATTGTTTTTAGTCCTCGCGATATTATGATGATATTTCTATTAATACTTCGATGACCTTTTACGGTTCTGTGTAAGTCAAGATATACAGTTAATACTGTATGAAAGTTATGAATTGGGTGATATCCTATAAAGAATTATGTTCTTATGTGAGTAAAAGCCTCCTCCTTCCCTACTTCTTGGAGAGATAAGACTATAGCAAAATCTGAAATCAGAGTCACTTTCTCTTACCTCACATTGGGTCCATTTGGCTTGGATGGCGGCTGCCAAGAAATCCCAACATACGATTCACTTAGTGGAATCGCTGACAATGGGCCAACACCCTGCGGTAGGGTTGGGTGGGTGGTAACATAGGTAGGTAAACTCTCTGTGCACCCTCCTAGGTGTCCATCCCCCCCTGAGCAAGCAACAATGGTGACAGAATAATTAGTGAAAGGAATAAGATGTGTAATTATTTGACTTAACACTGAGGAAGTCACATTGGTTATTGTGATGTGAGGGTCAGGCATGCGGATCTCATAGCTAAGCATGTCTCCGTTCTGGATGAGTGGGGGTTTCCAAGTGACCTGCAATAAAAGATAAACTTAGAATCAGTGTTGACAACACAGAAACAGAGCAACTGAAGTTCACAAGGCCTAGAATTTCGCTCTGTCTTGTTTTCAGTTCATTTTCTGAATGCCTACTTTCTACTTAGCCCTTTGTATTAGACAGTAATGAAGGGTTTGGGATCAATTAGCAGTACACCAGGAACTCAGTGAAATGCTGTTTCCTGGGTTTGGCTTTTAGTCATGATACTTTCTGGGACTGTCAGACTAATACACACCTTGGTGATTCATCTCCACTGTGGGTGTTCCGAAGGACACAGAGCAAACACATGGAGAAAATTCACACATCCACATGCATCAATAGGGCAGCGACAGGATTTGATAGTTTTCTTGTTTATAACTCAATTAAATGGAACATCAGAACTCCACGCTTTGCATTGTTAGTGTACATACTAAGTCACGTTTTTTTTGGAGGGTGGGGGAAGGGAAATCATAATTTATATTTCCTGAGGATGCACAATTGAGTTTCAGAATCTTACCCGTACATAATTTGGCAAGTAAAGCAATAAGAACACATCCTATTCTAAGGGAGAAGATATGTATAGAAAGCGTTTTAAAAGGCAAGCAAAGGATGATCCTGTTTAGCTAATGCATGGAGTTGAGCACCAGAAGAAAGAAGAACATTTTGTAGTGGAGTACCATAATGTCTGAAGTTTGTTTTCATGTCTGGCTAAATTTTGCAAGAACATAGGGTTAACACACTCATGTTCTTGTTGGGGGAAAAGGATCCTAGAAATATGTGCTTATTCATATGCTATCATGTTTCATCTCTTTTACTGTTACCTTCCAGTGTTCCTTTTATAAATATCAGGATATATATTTAATCTCTCAAATAGTCTGTAATTCTCCTTGATGACAAGACTAAATTTTATATTCATTTATTGTCACGCACACAGAGGTGGAGTTCAGTAAGTAATTGTAGTCATTGCTTGTTAGATTACATTTTTTTCTTAGCATACAGTTATTTTGAAACTTAAAAAGCCAGATTTTCACAAGGTGATATACTGATATCTACACTTATAAATGTATACAAAATCAAAGTCTAAAAGGAATAATAGAAAAATTAAAATAGAGAGAGATTGACCATCATTTTTCACCTTAAATCAAAGAGAAAATGTTTCTTCTAGAAGGAATATGACTTGAGTTTTTTAAGAGTACTCTTACTAATAATTGGTGACAAACTGGAGTCCCAACATGGGTTAGTTGGGCAGTTGCCTGATGATTATTGTGGTAATTTATAATTAACAATGGGCCAATATCTACCCAAATTTTACTACACGGGCTGAAATCATTGTTAATCTTAAAAACTTCTTGGAGAGTTCCAAGAAGAGATGCCAGGATGAAGAGAAGTTTGAGATGTGTTCCTTATGAGTATAGAGGATTTGTCTGGATACAGAAAATATTAAAAAAAAAAAAAGAAAAACCTAAAGCAAGCAAAGTTTGCAGAGCAGACATACGGTTCTATTTGTTGTGGAGGTGCAAATACTCTCTGTGGACTTGGAAAATTAGTCAAGGTCAAACTCAGAGGACTTCCTGGTATTTATAACATAAATAAAAAAAGGAAGAGCTATCACACCTAAATTCAACACTATTCATTTGAGGAATACAACTTTCTTGCCTCCCAAACCAGAATACTTTGAGATTTCAGGTCAGAACTTGGCAACACTTGAAAGAATTAAAATTTAGGAGACAGACTGAGTTAGTAGCTGAGCTAACAGTGAATTGATCTGGAACTCAGCATCGAGGCTGAGAAAAAGCATTCATGAGATAAAACTTGAATAAGATATCTGCCAGCAGAGATTAAGAGATTGATGTAATGATTCTGGAGACAGTCACTTGAAGATCTAAAAAAACCCCATTTTCTCCATTATAAATGTTTACATCCAGAAATTAGCTATTTTTCTCATTTTTAAAAAAGTTACAAACTTAGAAAAAATTGCCTTTTTGACAGTAGTGAGTTAGAAGAAATGAATCTACTTCTACAAAAAAATTTTAGGAGGACTAAATAACACAATCTTTTGTAATGTGGAGGACGTTGTCATTGTAGTCAGTAGGCTAATGGAAATGGTATCTAATTTGATCACCTTGCTGAAAATATCCTGGAGTCATTCTTAGGCGTATAAGGAGCCACAGACTTTTACCAACTCTTTCATTTCAGTGATGAATGGCTCTAAAAAAATCAAGGCACTTTCAAAATTCCCCGTTTTAAGCAGAAACTTAGACATACAGTTTAGTTGATTAGCTTCAGGCCTGAAAATAGTTAACACACATAATAAACGTGTGACTGACTGACTTCTTTAACTCCATCAAACTATTTTTAAGAACTCTATGAGTAAGAGTATTTACGAAGATTGATATTATGGGTTGAGAGTGGGCTACGATATGATAAATATCCCTAATATTATTGATCTGAGCTATATACCATTAAAGCTGTGTGACTTTGAGCAAAATGCTTAACATCTCTGGGCCTTGGAATCCTCATGTCTGATTTGAAAATATAATCCTTGCCCTCATGCCTAGACATACGATTGCATAATTCTAAGACTACTTAATCAACAGAAGATACAAATGTACAATTAAGAAAGAGTGTGTGGATATATTTGACTCTACAGTATCTCAATTCCTCTTAACAACTGACTCTCTGGCAAAACTCATACAGAATAAGCTGTACAATAAATATTTGTTGAAATAAAATTAAAGTTCTCTTTCAAAATGCCCTCCTTTCATTTAAAATTTATTGAAATTAATTTTTAATTTCAAATATCATATCTGCATTTTATAATCAGAGAAAGGGTACAAAGATATATAAAGGAAAAATTAATTATGGCCCTCATTAATTAATTAATTAATTAAACTCCTTAAGGTAAAAAGGCAATAGCTTGGAGTGTATTTTCCCACACTTTTTATATGCTCATACAAGCAAGGCAAACATACCCACACGTGTATGAGGTCTCTCTCTCTCTGTTCTTTAAAATTTTTTTACAGAAATAAAGGTTATTCTATATCCACTATGCTGCAATTTGCTTTTCAGACTTAACAATAGATTATGGACAAACTATAATTTTTTGCCATTGCATAGTATTCCTTTCAAGGCTAAAGCCAAATTATTTATTACCTTATTGACATTATTTAACTTCTAAAAACAATACTTGAAAATGTATGCAATATATTCTCCTTTATTTTCTTCTAAGATTTTTATTTTTTTAACATTAAAATTTTTAATTTATTGGAATTTAGTTATAACACAATATAAATGAGGGATCTATTTTTTTTTTCCTTACACATGGACAGCCAGTTAGGCCAGTATAATTTTTTTACTATTCTTCTTTCAAAATATTATGCGGGTACAAATATTTTTGGTTACATCAATTGATTTTGTTATGCTTGAGTCAAGGTTATAAGTGTGCCCATCACCCAGCTAATGTTCATTGTACCTGTTAGGTAGGTTTTCACCCATGCCTCCTTCCCTCTCCCCACTGCTTGATTTCCACTAGGTTTTACTTCCCTCTGTGCACATGTGTGCTTATCTGTTAGTTCCAATTTAATAGCAAGTACATGCGGTATTTGATTTTCCATTCTTGAGATACTTCAGTTAGGAAAATGGTCTCCAGTTCCATCCAAATTGTTGCAAAAGGCCTTAAATCATCTTTCTTCATGGCTGAATAGTATTCCATAGTATACATATACCACATTTTATTAATCTACTCATGAATTGATGGGCACTTGGGTTGATTCCACATCTTTGCAATTGTGAATTGTCCTGCAATAAATATTTGAGTGCAGGTGTCTTTTTGATAAAATGACTTCTTTTCCTTTGTGTAAATACTCAGTAGTGGGATTGCTGGATCAATGGTAAGTTGACTTTTAGTTCTCTGAGGAATCTCCATACTATTTTTCATAGAGATTGTACTAATTTGTAGTCCCACCAACAGTGTATAAGCATTCCTTTCTCTCTGCATTCATGCCAGCATCTATTGTTTTCAGACATTTTTAATAAAAGCCATTCTAACTGGGGTATGGTGATATCTCCTTGTGGTTTTAATTTGCATTTCCCTGGTGATTAGTGACACCGAGCATTTTTACATATGTTTATTGGCCATTAGTCTATCTTCTGTAGAAAAGCTTCTGTTCATGTCTTTTGCCCAATTTTTAATGGGGTTATTTGTGTTTCTCTTACTGATTTGCTTGAGTTCTTTGTAGATTCTGGTTATTACCCCTTTATTGGAGGTATAGCTTGAGAATATTTTCTCCCATTCTGTAGGTTGCCTATTTGTTCTGTTGAATATTTCCTTAGCCATGCAGAAGCTTTTTAATGTAATCAAGTCACATTTATTTTTTGTTATTGCTGTGATTGCCCTTGGGGTCTTCTTAATAATTTCTTTGCCGATAATTTCTAGGCCGATATCTAGAAGAGTTTTCCAATACTTTCTTCTAATATTCTTGTGGTTTCATACCTTATTTTTAAGTGTTTTATACACTTTGAAATAATTTTTTTGAGTGGTGAGTGATATAGATCCTGTATCACTCTTCTACACGTGACTATCCAGTTCTCCTAGCACCCTTTATTGAATAGGGCTTCTTCTCCCCAGTGTATATCATTGTCTGCTTTCTCAAAGATAATCTGGGTTCTCTGTACTGTTCCATTGGTCTATGTTTCTATTTTTGTGACAATACCATGCTGTTCTGGTTGCCTTGTAGTACAGTTTGAATTCTGGTAATATGAGGCCTCCAGATTTGTTCTTTTTGCTTAAGATTGCTTTTGCTATTCAGGCTCTTTTGTGGTTTCAAATGAAGCATAGACTTATTTTTTCTAGATCTGTGAACTATGACATTGGTATTTTCATGGGGATTGCACTGAATCTGTAAATCACTTTGGGTAGCATGAACATTTTAGCAATGTTAATTCTGCTGATCCAAGAGCGTAATATGTTTCTCCACTTGCTTGTGTCATCGGCAATTTC